GGGGACCCTGGTGGTGATCTCCTAATCACTTCCCACCCAAGGCTGGCCATTCTCTGGGTGAAAACCAATCAGGAGGGTCCTGGTTGTGGGTATCATCCATATGCCAACTCCCATTCAGGGCTGGGGCTTTAACCCCAGTACTTCAGGTAGCTAATTAGTTGGCTATTTGGCTGCCAACATAGGTAGCCAAGGACTGGAAAATCTATTCCAAAGAGGTCTGGGGAAAGGAACTCTGGAAGGATACTTGGGAAATAATTCAAAGAACTAAGGTGACTGTAGTTCGTGTTGATGCCCATAGTAATATGTTTACTAGAACTTTTTAACTGTCACAGGTAACCAGGCAAAGATTTCCCCAGCTGGATTGGAATTTCCTCAGGAGGAGGACCATGAAGGCTTGGCGGAATGAGCACACCAAAACTGTGGGCATCTTGGGGAGAAGGCCACTTACAAGTGGGCCTTAGAGTGTGGCATAGTAATGTCACTTGATCTATTCAAAACAATATTTGCCCGATGCCCTGTGTGCCAGCACACTCATAAACATCCGGTGCCAAATATTGTGAGAGGAGAACTGGGGAGAGGGAAATTTCCAGGACAAGCCTGGCAGATGGATTACATTGGACCTTTCCCCCAGGACCAAGGCTGTAAATACATTTGCACAGCAGTAGACACATACTCTGGATATTTGATTTCTCATCCCTGTAAAAAAGCTACTCACCATCGTACTATCTGTACCATAGATATAATGATCTTGTACAATGGCACCCCATTACAGATTCAAAATGATAATGGTTCTCATTTTCAAAAGAAATCTGTCCAACAATATGCTGAGCAGCATAACATTCAGGGGATTTTTCATATACCATATTATCCACAAGCTGCAGGATTGACTGAAAAGATGAATGGGCTATTGAAGGAGCAGTTAAGGAAGCTAGGAGATGGAAATCTGTCCAGGTGGACAATTCATCTCACAAATGCACTATGTAGCCTCACCCTAGGCCTACTGGGGAGATGGAGACTCCCTTGATGTGCATGACTATGCCAAATTTACAGATACAGCCTTTAACGAGTGAAACTGACTTACTGCGGAATTGTCCCGGGTGCAATGGCCCCCTCCACGCTCGAGAGGCTGCTGGGCTAGATCTTTATGCATTAGAATTGATAAAACAAAATCAAAACCAGATGAGAGTTATTAATACCAGGTGTAATGGTTTAGGGTCAGGGCTGCCCCCAGACCTCTAATGGACTCTCTGTTAACCCCTCTCCCTACCAAAGGGGAAGAGAAAGTGAATAAGAGAGAGAGACTTATAGATTAGAAAAGAAAATTAAAACAGCTTTAATGAGAAAAATAATAAAATGTAATATATACAAAACCAGTATCAAACTCAACTGCCCCCTGATGGCAGTATGTCACCATCACCCCTGATGCTGTGGAGCAGGCCCTGGGGAAACATCTGTCACAGTTTGCTCCACTCAGCAGATGTGTGATGGTTCATTTGCTGCTATCTCAAAGTGCAAAAGGAAGTCAAAGAGGGGTTTTACTTCATTTAAACAGTGGAACTTCATTTTTTTCCCATAAAGCAGCATGTGATATGTAAAAGAGTGACAGGAAAGGTAACGTAAAGAGGGGAAAAAGAGTAATAACTACCACCACGGGTCCAAGGCATCCCTATGGTCCCAGGTCCAGGCAGCATCTTGCTGGTCTTTTCAATCATCGTGATCCTCAGTGGGGGAAAGCTTCCCAAAGTTCGTTTGCTAAGAAACCATCCTTTATACTAGGTGATACATCTTGCTCCTCCTCAGTCCCATGGACTCCTGCCAATCTCTGCCTTTCTCAAGCAAGGCTTCCACACATGCCCAGGGAGGAGTGTCTGAGGTGTGGTCTGCGGTAGAGATGGGTAGCTTTTGACCAGGAGGTGTGTTTTCATATTATAATGATATTATAATGAGCAAAGTTCACCATTTCTTCATCAGTGCTGAGATGGTCTATGTGACCAATCTTTCTTGACAATAGCTATGCAGTTCAACTTAGCAGATCTGGCTCCCCCAGGTAGAGCAGAACGGTACAGTACAGTACACTTCATGGCACAGTCATGGTACACTTCATGGCACACAGTTCTCATCCCGGCATGTCTGCACCTTTGTATCCATAGGAACCGCATTCCATTCTTGGGATCAGTAACTGCATCTCAGGTAGGCCGCTGCAGACTCTTGTCAAAATGTTAGCCTAATTTTTGGGGTACCTTATTGTCCAAGTTTGTGATGACAAGGTTGAGGCAATACTCTTCTTCTGACCAACTCTTACACCACCCTGTGTCTCAACATTGTCATCAGGATTGCATGGTGGTAGCATAATTCAAAAAGAGACAGAACGCGAGAGACAGAAAGAGAAAAAAGAAAGGAAGAGATAAATAGGAAAAGAATGATAATGACAAAATCAAAATAATATTAATCAAACAATGTAGAAATAATGAAATTTGTTTCAAACAGTTTACAAAGGAAATTAATAGGTTTTAAACAAGCATCAAAATCTTCTCATCTTATCTCACTTACCCACACAATCCGCTTTGTGTCAATAAACTTCGGGATGACTGTGTTGGATGGGACATCAACCAGATTATGCACATTTACTATACATGTCAACCATATCAATCAATTTATCATTCTCCAATTTATGATATACAGCATTGCTGACAAAACAAGACTGATCAAAACCAATATCAAGGTAATGACAATGGGGTGACAACTTGTTCAGGATACCTGTAGCAGTAGGTGACCATACAAACGTGTCCCACCATTTACATTCTGCATCTTTTCCCAAAATACCATGTATTTCTTCCACATTGTGATGAACAGTTATCAAGCTTTTCTGTCTATTTTCCTTGACCTTTTCCAAAATCTTGATCAAATCCTGGTGTAGCAATTGCTTTACTAAAGTGAGGTTCAGCCCAATGGGGGTATGTATGTGGGATTATCTAGCAGACAAGGCCTGGGAAAAGCTCGATGTGCAGTATGAGAAAAGAACAAGAAACAACAAAGAGAACATGCAGCTGTCTATAGGAGGAACTCGCTGATAAGAAACAGAGTCTGCAAGCAGACGGAATTGACTGCCAAACATATTGTTGACTGAGATGTGGTAGCGCGTGAAGAGCGCGTGATCTTTTTGCTGATTGGCTCTATGCTGGCATGCTCTTTGCTGATTGGCTATATGTCGGTACGCTCACAATCTGAACAGGATAAATGCGTATGTTTGCTGCTTAATAAACAATTTGCTTTGCTTAGATGATTCACTTGCTTTGTTTAAATGATTCCCTTGCTCTGCTCTGCTATCTGTGGGTCCATGCCCTCACACTTCACAAATGGTGCCCGAATCGGACTTTTGAAATGCAACTTGGTGGGAAAGAACTGGTGGTGTACCCCCTGAAAGCTGAACGTTGAGGATCCTCCCACAAGGAGCTCTGTCTTTCATCACCCATCCACACAGGATGAGAACGGTGAGCAGCTGGGGAAGCAGTTTGACCCTGTTATCATGGGGCAAACAGCAACTAAGTCGCAACAGATGCATAAAGAAATATTGCTACGCATTACCAAGGAGCAGGGCTTTAAATTAGCCTCCTTGAAACTGGTACAGCTACTGGTTTGGATATGAGATAACTGCCCAGAGCATCCAGACACAGGATTGTATGAAATAAAGGTCTGGCAGCAAGTAGGGAAGTGTTTGCAAGAAGAATGGACTTTAAATCATTCTGTTGATCCTGAATTAATTATTACATGGTGGGTGTTTTACACTGCCCTGTGAACACTACTCCCTGCCAAGCAGGTGGTTACTATGGACATTTCAGCTGCTGGTAGTGATTTGCTTACATTACGTGAACCAAAAGAAGAAACTGTATGAAACTGTGCCTAATGATGCTGGCAGATTGGAGCTGCCTAAGAGTGTTAATGTCAAAGAAGAGGATGATTCTTTTGATATGGGACTAGTGGATCAGGAGTCAGAACCTGATTTATACCCTCCTTTGATTCCTGCTTGCGCTATGGCAGCTGCAGCCCCGAC